TTCTTTCCTCAGCCAGAGATGGGCACAGGGCAGATTTGTCTTCCATAACCTGTTAATGGTAACCCCTCCTCGGTGCAAGGCCAGTGGAATGCAGCCTGAGTTTTGGACTCAAAAAGGAGATCAAAGTCAGGCTTTGTTTTTAAAATTAAAAAAACACAGTCTCCTTCAGAGCTGGATGTTTATCAGAAAAATCATTGATCCTGATCAGAGTTTGAAGCACTTTTAACAACTAGTGTCACGTACTAAAGCTGATTTTCTCCAGAGGCCATCAAAATTCCTTTAGAACATTCTTGGGAAGAGATTTCTTGATTTTTGGTGACTTTTTGGATAGAATTTACTCAGCATTTACAAGTTTATTGAGAATCTCTAAATAACTGCTTAAAAAATACAAAATAAATCTCTCATTGGACTAAAGACTGCACTATTCAGGCAGGTCTAGTACAAAACCTTTAGAAGACCTGAATGTCTTTTCAAAAGCCTTATTTGTCACAGAAGAAAAACCAATTCCACTGGAACCAAGAGCTAAGTAGGGAAAAATACAGATATTTAAACCCCAAATATTCTGCTAAGAGCTGTAGTCTATTAGGTAGTTAAGAACTACAGTCACCTAATATTTCCTGCTGCCCTCCACAAGATGCAAAGTTCTTGCAAACCAGTAGCATGACCCAGCATCACCACAGCTATTAAATCATATCATTTCTTTATATTCCACTTGCAGCATACCTGCAGTTATTTAGGAAAATAAAGTTATTTAGGAAAATAAAGTTATTTAAAGAATGACAGTACTGAGATCAAATCTTAGAACACATCTGACCTTTAATATGGTCAGATAAATGCAGGGAAACACAGTGCTCCTCTCATTAAAATTCAATAACCTGGAAGCAGGAAGGGTGGAATGGAAAGTATTCACCCTGAGATACTGCTAAGCTACAATTAAAAACTGCAAGTTAGGATGATCCTTATCATTTCCTTTAGCATTGATCAAAGCAGAACATGCATTACTGCAAGCAATAAATTCCAACCCTAACAAACATTAACCTTCATTTTTAGTAAGTAAGGATAATAAAAGGTGTATTTATATACTGTACCCTTGCTATTTCCCGAATTAAAGTTGAAAATTTCTTTTTACGATTTAATTGGTAAATAGCACTTTGAAAAGGTTCAAACTACAGTGGTTAAATGGGATCAGCCCTCGAAGTGTTTGCCTCAAAATGCCTTGGAATTTGAACTCATTCATGTCTTCATCTATTTGTGTGCCTATGTGAGAGGGAAGGATTCTTTTCCCACGGCTGTAAAATGTCATTTCTCTTGTCTATGAAGAAAATAACATTAGAATCCTTGAAATCAATGTTTATTTTTTTCCTTTGGTAGCTGCATAAAAGCAGGATTGCTGGTAAAATGAAAAATCTTTTAATGGGTGTACAGCATCCCAAGGAGAGCAATCCCTAAAACAAAACCAGACAATAAATGAAGATACTTTTATATTTTTATAAAGAAGCACAGACTAGTTGAGGTCAAATCACTGCAGACTTAAGACACCTTTTAAACAGGTGGGAGCTCTGCAGACAGACACTGCAGGTGGACTAAAGAAACCATTTGCTCAGGCAAAAACTCAAACTACATCTTTGCAATGCTGCTTTTATGGGATCTGAAGAAACAAAATGGAAAACAGATCTGAAGGAGAAAGAAAAGGCAACTGACACATGCATCTGCACAAATTAATCAAAGATTGCACTAAATCTAAGAAAAATTCCTCAGCAAAACTTGACTTAACATTAAAGATTACATTCCCCATTATCTTTTCATCAAAATTATGGGGTTTTGGGGTTTTTGTTGGTCTGTAAATTCAGGGTAGAGGTGATGTGAAAGATGTGCCTGCTTCATTTCAAGGGACAATGTTAGCCCCATAATATGATCTCCCCTTCTTTTGTTTTCTTTTCACATCAGCTATTTCAATAGTCTCTGTGGCATTTCAGGAATAACACAGGTATGAAAAGATTATAAACCTTCATTTCAAAATTATCAGAATAGGGAACATGGAGGCGCATTACATAATATCTGAACCCCAATGAAACTGGGAAATGTGAAATTGTGAAATTGAAGGATATGAAAACATTGGTTAATTTAATAATATATCACAATTACCATGAAAAATATTTTAAAAGTCCTTCTAAAACTTTCAGAAAAATGAATAAATTGTTCATATTTGCCTTTCATATGGTTGTAGCATGACTATAATTTTAACATGTTTTATTCTCTTTATCTGTAGGCAAAGAAAAAAACTCCCAAGTTTTGTCTGGCCATTCTTACTGTGGTAATTTTTCAAGAAGTTATTTAGGATGGAAGAGCTTCTCTTGTGTCTTAACCCCATTTCTGTGAGAATTAAACAATAAAAACAAAGAGAGGAAAAAGCCAATGACGAAGAAGGTACAGTTTTGATTTTGTTTTCTGTACCAACATTACTCTGAAACCTCAGCCTTGGAGAAAAACATTCCCAGTGCAGTCTGGCCCAGAAAAAATGGCAAATATAAACTAACAATAATATTAAAACCCAATAATACCAATATTAAAAACCAATAATACTAAAACCAATAAAAATAAAAACCAGAAAAAATGGCAAATATAAACTAACAAATGTTTCACATGCTCTGAAGAGTCCATTTTTAGTCGCAGATTTACATCATCATTGCAGAGGGAATTCCTGTTGGTCAATCCTGCATGCTTAAGGAGTTTGTTAAAACGGGAGGAAGACAATTGTCAAAACGTGCTTAGGGTGGGTTTGTTGATACTCGGACCCAACAATTTGGTCCTAATTCCCAGCCCTGAAGTGCACGTTTATGAGCCATTATCTCAACAAGGCAACAAATGTTAAATGTTAACATCAGGAGCCAGTACCCGAGCATGTTTTAGCTTTTCCCAGTGGGTATTTATTGACAAACTCATTTACAGGGGGTGCTCACTGACTGGAGTGTCACACAGCAAAGGAATTGTACAACTGCCCTGCTAAAAACAATCAAGTGATTAACATGATTAAAGGTCTTTTTGCAGGTGTTTTAGGGATGACTAGCTCAAATGAAAGCAGTTACCTTACTGCAGAATTCAGGATAATAATACTTTTTTTTTTTTCCTGGATATATAACCGCATAGAAACAGAGAATGACATTTTTGACTGAAGCAAGATCTTTAAATATTTACAAAAATGGAAAATATTTGTAGCTGCAAGCAAAGGGAACAGCAGTTGCCCACTCAGCTGCCTCAAGTTAATGAGAAACAAAGGAAATATTTTTGCTTGTGCTTCTGTACCTTCTCAAGATACAAACATCAATTATTTTAACAGGCTTCAAATAACATCTGAGCATATGGTTTTAATGCACCCATAATGTGACAATTACTTCAAGGTTATCTTGCCGAAGCATTTCTAAATTAGCAACTACTTGCTGTAAAGATCATCAGAATAGACTCTCCACATTATGGTTCACTCTCACTATGTGATACACTGCTTAGCACTGGACAAACATTCCCACAAATGGAACAAAGCTGGATTTTCTTGGTTTTAAAGATAAACGAACTGGACTATCAGTTTACCTGTGGTTCCTAACTCAAAACTTCTTGGCAGAGAATGGGTTTAATGATTACCTTTTATAACCTCTGTACTTAGGCTGCTGCTCCTTCTTCATATTCTGGTTTCAGACATGGACACGCCTTGCTTCTAACAGGAGAAACACACTTGGCAAGGATTCCTGCACCTGATTAACTGCAAACAAATTGAAATAAATAAGGTAAGTGAAAGCAAGAATTGCTAAAGGTAATGATTGAAGCAGTCTCAATACAGGACTTTAAAAGAGAGATGGTGGGCACAAAGCTGCAGTGAAGTTCAGCCACCCAAGCCCTGCATTCTTCATGTGTGCAGCTTTCCTTCATAGGTTCAATCTTAAAAGTTAGATTCATTATGATTATCTTAAAAAAATCTATAATTCAGAAGATAAATTTGATGTCTTTGTAGCCTAAATATCTCTGAAGACCAACGATACTGAGATAGGTGTTCTGTCAATTTTAAATGCTGCAGTTTTTGTAGACAGTTACAAATTAATTTACAAAAAAACCCCAACTTATATTTCCTAAACAAGATGCCTTCCAGAGTTACCATCTGTATGAAAGCAGAAGGATCTTCAGCATTCAAATCGAAGTAAATACAGTTGTAGAGTCTTAGGAGAAAAGAGATTTTTGACTGGATCTCCTTTCGAGACTCAGGACCTAACCCGATCAATTTCCTTCACTGTCTCAGATTGTATTTTAGACCAGTACTAGGGGAAACAAGCAAAATCCTCACCGAAAAAAACCCGTAAGTCTAAATTTAAATTTGAAAACAAACTCTTTACATTCCAGTTCTAAAAAGGACAGAACATTGAGTGGAAGACATTCACCCTGAATCAACAGAGAGAAGATTGGTGACTCTTTCTGAGGCAAAGAGCTGCTAAACAGATAATTGTGGGAGCTGCTAAACAGATAATTCTGGGAGCCCGCACTCTGTTTAGCAGATGCTTCCACCTCCAAGGAGCTGAGGCAAAGTCTGATTGAATGAAGAATGGAAAGAAGGTCTCCTAGATAAGAAGAAAACCAGTTTTTGGGAGGAAGATAAAATCTGTCTGGACCTTTGGAGTAGTTCAAAGGAAGGACTGGCTATAAAAGCTGGATCGTTGCAGTGAGGACATCCTGCAAACTGAATGTGAGAAGGCACAGACATCCCCTGCCAGGTGGGTGAAAGGAAAATCCACAGCCAGGCAGAGAGCAGGTGAAGCTGACATCCCTTCTCCTCTCCGAGCAGGTAGTTCCATGGAAATCCTTTTCCTGGCAGTGACTGTGTGCATGTGTTTGTTTTCTGGCGATATTTACCTGCACTAATCTGTACCCACGTGCATCAGCTAAAGTCAAGCAATATTCACATGCTAGAGTAAGATTTTGTTGTTATTTCCTTAGAAAATTCAACAAGGAAAAAACAAATGGGTGGAGAAAGCTTGAAGAGAAGAAAAGGAGAGGACAAAGGAAGAGAGGACAGAGAATCCATTGAGAATCATGAGCCCCAAACGATGAACCTACAGAAGCAGGCAAAGCTTTTTCCTTTCCCCTTGAGTCTGTGTGTCAGGGGCTGGCAGAGGGAGGCACGAGGGGATAATCTGTGCATGTGCATCACAAAAACACCACAATGTGTCCCAGTTTAGCAAAAATATCCCAAGACCTCCGCTACGTGGTTGGCTTGCACTTTCAGATCAGCCAGTTACTGAAGTTAAATAGCTCTGGTATAAACAGACTAAAGCCCCAAGAATATGTCATTGAAGTTATCAGATATAAAAATAATTCAAAGACTTGCTCTAAGCTGATCAACTGAGGCATTTCATAAACGTTTTTTTCTGCATGTAATTTTCAGAAGTCATAGTGGATTGTCCAGCTCATTGTTTCTGAAAGTTTGTTACTGTTTATAGCCAGAAAATAGGCACTGGTACTTGAAGACAAGTGGAAATCTCTCTCCTCCAGAAAATTACAGATGGTTTAGAAAACAGTTGTGTCACTTCCTCTCAGGAGGGAGTGGCATTTCTCTTAATTTAAGTAGCCTGGAGAAAGATTATTTATGTGGTTTGAGTTTGGTGCCAAGACTGGAAAAATGCTGATGTTATTAGAGAAGCCATAGTTATCAGAAAATACCAAGTAGCCCATGCCTCAGTTTCAGTGGTTTCATGCAATATTGTAGGTCACTCCGGATCTGGAGAACGGGATCTTATCACCCAGTGGTATCAACACCATTCCTAGGTACAAATATTTAAAGCAAGGACAGGAAAACAGCTGCTCAACAACAACAACAGCAACAAAAAAGGATTCCATCCATGAATTTCTGAATCTTAGAAAATTCAGAATTCATCAAGTGCTGGCAAAAGAATGTCATGGCTTAATCAGAGAGGCAAGGGCAAGTTCACCCATTCAAGGTTATATTTGAGACTCACATAATCCAAAAGACAGTTTAATAAAGGAAATAGGCAGGCAAAACACAAACAGATGTACTTTTGAAAACAGCAGGAGTACACCAGAAGGCACATACACATCTTGATAAGAAGAGTGAAACTTTTCAAAATTGTTTAATATATTTCCTTATAGAACTTACATATTGAAAGCCAATAAAAATCAGTCAGTAATGACAATTACTGTAGTTCTATGATATTGAGAAGAAATTGGTGAATTGCTAGAAGTTGCTTACAAAACCATCTCATTTTACTTCAAGGTGGGCCTCATTAGTGGAATCTGTATGATTGTTGGTACCATTATTGGCTCAGGTATCTTCGTTTCTCCAAAATCCGTTCTTGCCAATGTGGAAGCTGTGGGTCCTTGTTTAACCATCTGGGCAGCCTGTGGAATTCTGGCAACATTAGGTAAAAACTCAACATAGAATCTGAATCTTTGCCTTAAATCCTGATATCTGCTGTTTCTGCATACTCTCATTTCACAAATTGGGTTATAGCACCTAGACCAAAATCAACGAAATCCTGCTCTATATATGCAATACTCAACCACAAATTAAAATTGGGGTGTTTATAAAAGACAAATTAAGTTTCAAAATTGTAAATCATACTCTATTTTGAAAGGAAGTTTTAGTTTTTCCTGCTTCACCCACTGACTGTAATAAAGAAACAGTCTTCTACTTAAATAGCTGCCAATGTGTGAAATTTGCGGGTTGTGAGTGAGGCAGGTACTTTCTGCTGGCTTTCTACTTCTGTAATTATAATTCTATTCTATCTGAAAATTTAGCTCTAAGCACCTCCAAATATTTCAAGAAGTAAAACAAAGAAATTTTTGAGCATTGTATCAGGGGGGCAGCATAGAAGAAAAACCTTAATTCAAGATGCCACATACAGCAAAAGTATCTCTGTATTTAATGCTGAGCTTAGCAGACATTTTAGTTCAAAATGGTGCAGAAAGTCTGTTTTATCAAGCTTCCAATAGATATGTCAGCCAGTGCAGTTCTCACTTAAGTGCTTCTTACAGTGTTCATTTCTTAAACAAAAATCAAATGAAATCAAAATGTTTGTTTGTTGTGGTGAAGTCTTACAAATCAATGGTAATAATTTTTAGACTGCATCTGAATAACTTCAGGTTATTTCTTTCAATTGCTCACAAGTAATTTTATTTTGCATATACAGTGAAATATTCAGAAACACGAAGAGAGTAATGGTCCACTGTACAGATCAACTCCCTTCACTTTTCTACCTATTAAAAAGTGATCATCTGTTCAAGCAGTGCCAGGTTCAAAAGTGCATGAACTAAACCTGCTTTTTTTGTTCAATTCAGGTGCACTTTGTTTTGCTGAGCTTGGTACAATGATCACAAAGTCTGGGGGAGAATACCCTTACCTCATGGAGGCATTTGGGCCAATTCCAGCCTTTCTGTTTTCTTGGACAAGCTTGCTGGTCACAAAACCCAGCTCCTTTGCAATCATCTGCCTCAGCTTTGCAGAATATGCATCAGCTCCCTTTTATCCAGGCTGTGATCCACCCCAGGCTGTCATCAAGTGTCTGGCAGCAGCTGCTATTGGTAAGAAGCACAATTTTAAACAGCCCAGATCCAAAATTGCATCGTGATCTGTGTCTGGCCCCATCCACAAGTGCATTTTCCTTATGTTCCTCTTCTCAGAGACACCAGAAATCTTTAAGGCACAGTCCAGTGAGTCCTTCTCACAATAATTAATTAAACAGCATAAAAAGGATGGATTTAAAATTTTTTTAAGGTTTTTAGGTTTTTCCCTAGTTTGAGGGTTTTTTTATTCTTCCTTAAGATAGATACATCTGTATAATGAATGCCTATATCTAGCAGAAAAGGAAGAAAAAATAACTGTGAAAATACTATTTCTTTATTTATCAGAATGCTGTGCAATTTCAAAATGTTTTTATTAAAGGTACTATAAAAGTCTAATTCATAAATCTATTTTTCCTCACTATTATAATAAGTTATCCAAACACACTAAGTAAAAACTGTATATAATATAAACAAAAAGTGTGATAGAAAAGCAGAACAATAAATAAAGGGAGAGGCAACTTTTCTTTAAATTCTGACAAACAGCACAAAAATTTATAATTTGATTTCTTTTAGTGGTAATTACAATTGTGAATTCATTGAGTGTGAAGCTGGGAAGTTACCTCCAGAATTTTCTCACAGCTGCTAAAATGATCATTGTCACAATCATTATTGTAAGTGGAATTGTTCTCCTTGCACAAGGTAATAAAATATATGTTATTTGAAAAAAATTATTTTAGCTTTTGCTATGATGATTAAAAATTCCCCACTGAGAGAAGTGACACAGAAATAAGGGACAGCCCTGAATCTCTTCATTCTGGGTTTTAGTTCTAAATCTCTTGGAAATTATGGCATTTTATTTCACAGAAGGGGGATGGGTGCAAAATGTACCCTTCTACAGATCAGTTAATACAAACTACAAATCTACAGATCTACAAATGCAAACTACAGATCAATTAATACAAAAGGGTACTAATTAATTTTATAAGTGAAAAGTTAATACAAACTACAAATCTACAAATACAAACTACAGATCAATTAATACAAAAGGGTACTAATTAATTTTGTAAGTGTAAAAATACAAATTACAGATCTACAAACTACAGATCTACAAATACAAACTACAGATCAATTCATACAAAAGGGTATTCCTTAATTTTATAAGTGAAAAGTTTGGGACATATGTTGGAATGTTTTTTCATCTGGTGGGGGGATTACAAGAGTTAAATTCAACACTGATCAGTAATCTTCCTCTTATTTGCAGGAAAAACAGATAACTTTAAAGATTCTTTCAAGGGCAGTAAAATTTCTGTTAGCTCTATCAGTCTGGCATTTTATAATGGACTCTGGGCATATGATGGATGGTAAGAAATCTTTATTAACCTTCACAGTTACAGTTTAACAGCCTTTAACTGGGTTCCTCTCTCCCTGTAGAGCCCTTGAAGACATTAACAACTGACTTCTTATTAAGAATGTCTGGGTGAATTCTGGAAAATAGAACACTAGTTTGGGTGAAAAAACCCCAGAACTCCACCCTCTTTTAGTGTCTGTTTGTTAGGGAAAGAGAATATCTTAGCTCCCCAAAGGACTATTCCTGCTGTGGTGCTGAAGGTGCTCAGATCCTGCAGCAATGAGGGGAATTTAACACATTTAATGAGGGGAATAGAACACATTTAATTCCATTGTGTTAGACAAAACAGCTTTCCCTGCAGGCTGCCCCACCAAACTCCATTGTTTGTGAAATATGTAGTGGTGTTTGATTAGTCCAGGAGAACATAAAAAGGAACTTTGTGTCAGAAATTATAAAGTTCAACTTGCAGGTTTGATTTTTTCTCAGGGAATGTCAGTTGGCACAGAGCTCTGTTGGCACAAATCCATTGTTATTCTTAAATGTACAAACTGCAAAAGTCTGTATATAGGTCAGTACTTTGGGAGCAAATAAGGATATAATCTTGATCTACCACACAGCAATTCCCATTTGAAAGCTTTTGAAACTGAATTGATTTTAAAAAGATTATTTTTTTAGGTTCTGTTTCCAAGCTTGAGTGCCTCAACTCGGGCATGGGTCTGCTAATTCAGGCATTCATATGGACTTTTTAAGAGGGTAAAGAAGCTGATCCCTAAATAATTATTTGTGTATGTAACCACCAGGCACTAACATTTGAAAATTTGCCTTTGAACTGTAAATACTAACTCTTCAGATTTTCAGAGTGGATGAATATAAAAACCTTGTTTCAATTAGGTTGAATATAAAAACCTTGTTTCAATTGGTCCACACACTCTAACCAAAATGGGTATTTGGACATTATAATTCAGATAGGTATAATCCTTGAAAAGGTTTTCCTGCCTGTTTTCCAAAGGCAGGATGATTTACAAAACCACTCTGAAACAGCAGCAGATTTGCTTTTCTCTTTGCCCCCAGCACTTGTGCTTTTCTTTGACAAGACTCAGATACTGCAAAACTTGAGGTTGAAAGGCAATTTTGGAAATCCAAGATGTCTGCCAAGGTTTTGTTTGATTATTCTGGGATATTTTAACCAAGATTTAGTGTCAGAGGTACTAGAGATAATGCAGATAGAGATGGTGAATCAAGAGGCTGACTTTTGGATAAGAAGCTCACATTGGTTTTGTCCTGCAGTTTTCCCACTTAAAAAATTGATTTTACATTTTTTTTCCTTTTTAAAACTGAAAAGATTAAAACCAATAACAGAAGAAACAACCTCACCTCCTAGGTGAGTATTTAAACCCCTGACTGCTGAAATACTCTATGAATGTTTTTCCTTCCAGGAATCAACTCAATTACATCACAGAGGAACTTAAAAATCCTTACAGGTAAAACTGTGTAGGAAAGCAGTGTTTTTACTGGCAAGAAATCAAACCCTATGTATTTTTCTATAAGCAAGCATATATTTTGGTTTGTTTTTTAAAAGCACTAATATTCTATTATTCAAGGTTTGAGCACTAACAGACAAAGCTAATGAGCTAATTATTATTACAGGCTTTGTATCTTTGCATAATTGTTTACAATCCTGATTTCCATAGCTCTACAGTTAAAAAAAAAAAAAAGTAAATAGGAAAAGTAAGAATCCAGAGTTTACTATGACAACTGTAGCAGTGATCCAGCAATGCTGATGGGGTTTTACTTTTCCATTCTTTAGAAATCTGCCACTGTCTATAATTATTGGAATCCCCCTGGTCACAGTTTGTTACGTTCTGATAAATGTTTCCTATTTCACTGTGATGACTTCAACAGAGCTCCTGCAGTCCCAGGCTGTTGCTGTGGTAAGTTATTTAATTTTCTACTAAGACATCTGCATTGAAGTCATGTGAGCCATTAAATTCCATTAATTTTTTGTAAGATAAAATTAATTTCAGTCCAAGCTGTTAGTGCCACCTTTCCCCCCATTATTTACTATCATTCCTTAATCTAAAATTTCAGTAATGCCAAATTGACAGAGTAGTTGTGTCATCTCCAAATGGGAATAAAAGAGAACAAAGTCTTCTGCAAACATTAACATTGCAGGTCAGAGGGGACTGCTTTCCATTGGCATCAAAAAGATGGAAAGGGAAATAACACCTGACAGCTGCTTTGGCATTTTCAGCGTTCCCAGTATTTCTGAGAAAGCAGCACATGCCAAAGGACAGTAGGTCTGAGTTTGTTATGGAGATAACAGCAAATTAATTGTCCATCAGTCACTTCCACCTTATTCTTTTGGGGCTTTTTTCCTTAACAAATTTGAAAGATAGGATTTTTACATTTTTGCAAGACGCTCTTACAGGTAAAAGTAGAAATTACAGAAGTTTCTGAAGCCATAAAAAATACATCTGCCCCTTCAGTACCACTCAGTCAATTTTCTATGTCTCTGAAACAACTGAGGCCCTGCAACAATTTTCCTAATGCTGGATTTTGGGGAAAACAAACAGTATGTGACAAGCATTTAAATATATACATATATATTTAAAAATACATATATTATATATTATATATTATATATTATATATATATATATTTATATATATATATATATTTATATATATAATATATATTTTTATTTATATTATATATTTTAAAAGTATATATTCCATATATATTAATTCTATTTTATATATAGATATAAAATAAAACAATAAAACAATATCATAATAATATAGAAATATTATTTAATAATATAATAGTAATTAATAAAACAAAATAATTAAAATATGTCTTTTATATATATATATATATATATATATATATATATATATATATATATATATATAGTCTAGCCCAGTGAAGAAAAACAGTAATGTTGAAATGCTTAAAAAACTTTAAAGAATAAAAATAAAGTAAAAACAAAATAAATTAAAAAAAAAATTAAAAGAAAAGCTCTTAAATTTAGCTCTTCTGTGCATTTCAGGAGCTTTTCTGCACCAAAAGGTACAGCAAAGAATGTATGAAGTTAAATCTTGTATAAAAACCAGTCCCCTTCAATCCACCTTTACACCCACAATCTGAACAGTCACAGCAAGCAGCACTGAAGTGATCAATCAATGAATTTACAGAACCTCAGCCCTGGCTCTGAGCAGAGGCAGCAGAGCCCAGGAGTGCCCTGTGCAGGGAGCTCTCCACAGCTGTCAGCAGCCTCTGAGTGCCCACTCCTGCACCAAGGAACATCTCTGATGGCAGACTTGTGCAAAACCAAAGCTCTTTATGCTTGACTTACTTAAAAAAACAAAAAAAACCCAAAACCGAACTAAAAACTGAACCTACCTGTCAAAAACATTGAAATTCAAATTGATTTGGACAAGGCACCTATCTGAGATCTACAGCAAGAACTAACAAACCATGCCACAGGTGAAAACTCAGATGTGGTGAAAGACCAGGGGGTTTTGTCCTTGTTTGCCCCCATCTGAGGCTGTCACTGCTGATGTTCCTCCTGCTAGAGAGGCTGGAAGCAGCTTTTTGTGTGCAGCTTTTTGTGTGCACAGCTTTTTGTGCCCAGCTTTTTGTGTGCAGCTTTTTGTGTGCACAGAGCTCTGCAGCAATTCCATCTTCCTGTCTTTGCAGACACATCCCAAAGCAGGGGTCTTGACAGAATTGAATTTCTGTGCAGTTTTTACGTCTGCCTTCCAATGTCTCTACAGATGTTGCATCTTAAACATCATGACAAGAACACTCCCACTCCATTTTATAGTGGCCAGTGAACGAATCCAAGTCTTTATTTGGCAGAGCATTCTTTAATAACTACACAAAATACACAACATGGTTTTGTTGGGTAACACAGCTCAGATACCCATTTACTTTACTTAAAAAGAGACTCTAACATTACTGAATATACTAAATGGCAATTAAAATGATAAAAGTGATTAATTTTAATCCCATTTCCCAGACATTTGGAGATAGAGTCCTTTATCCAGCCTCGTGGATAGTTCCTCTCTTTGTGGTATTTTCCACCCTTGGATCTGCCAATGGCACCTGTTTCACTGCAGGCAGGTAAGTCCCCATTCTAAATATCCTCATGGAAGGTTTTGAAGGATGGAAAAATTTATATCAATGTAACTACAGACATAAGAACATTGTTCTGCTACACATTACACAAAATGTAATTTGAAATTGCCTGTAAATCTAGCTATATTGTTTAATTTCCAAGAAGAAACAGTGGCTAGGTTTGAAAAATTAGAAAACATGGTCTCTTCTTAATTCAATGAAGGTATAGCACTATAGCACAAAAGGGTTTTTTTATCTCTCATAAATGTTAAAGCTGAGAATTGAACAGTTAAAAGTTACCAGTAAAAACATCACTACACCAGCAAGGGTAGCTGACAACTATTCCTTTCTATCAGTTGTTCAGCACTTCCATTTACTATTTAAAATATTTTAAGATTTCAAAAGCATCTGAACACAATGTGGTTTTAAAGACCATTTTTGACAAAAGCTTGTCAATATACCTTTTTGCTATGAAACACATGAAAAAGGAAATATGTAATTAAAAGAAACACAGTTGGTAACATTTCCCAAACTAATTTTCAATAATGATTCTGAAATTAGTTTCAAGTGCACTATTTTAATATTGTTCAGAATTTGTTTTAGCTCACTGCTTTATATATATATTTTATAATATATATATATTTAATATATTTATATAATATAATATAATATATTATGTATATTATAATTATATGATAATATAATTATAATATAATTATAATTATATATTATATATAATAATTGTTATATATTTAATTATATATATTATATATTATATAATATATATTATATATATTTATATAATAATATAATTATATATTATTATAATATATAATAATTATTATATATTATAATTATATATAATTATATATTATATAATATATATATAATTATATATTATATATATATATATATTATATATATATAATTAATATATATTTTTAAAAATACTGGTTATTTAACTTCCCTTATTTTGAACTGCTACAACCTTTAAATCCCAATGCATATCAAAGAAAATGCTGATGGAATTAGCTGGATGCCCACTTTAGTGACACTCTCAGAGTCCAGGAGCCACACTAACGTCCCTGCCTTGTTCTTGTTTTCTCAGACTTGTGTACGTGGCAGGTCGAGAGGGGCACGTGCTGAAGATTCTGTCTTACATCAGTGTCAAGCACTTAACACCAGCACCTGCCATCATATTTTATGTAAGGATATATTTAAATACAGAAAAATAATCATCACCTATCAGCAAAAAATTCTCCAGTAATTCATACCTTCACAGCTTCTTACCAGCAGTTTTGATACTTATCATTAACTATCTAGACAAGAAAATTGCTAAATGCATTTTGGAAAAAGGACTACAAAAAACCCCCAGCTTCTCTAATTTGAATATATTTGTTCCAGAACTGGACTTTAAAAATCAAAATGGTGAAGAATTGATTACATGAGAACAAAAACTTAAATGAATGTTTAATATTAGGGACACCTTTCACAGGATGCTTGCAAGCAAGCTATCATTTCTCTGTGAATTAAATCTTCCTCCATGTAGAAGATTTAATTCACACTAAAAAAGTCCAGTTAATAAATACATTTAAGAATAAATCTAGAACATCTTGTTATTTTTATTTTACCCATTTATCTTCAAGGCAAAACAAGATATATTCAATCCTGTCAGGAAAATTAATCCACAAACACCTGAGGTTTGTGTAAAAGGAGACAGAGGAGTCTCATAACTTTATTTGAATAGAGGGAGAGGCCATGGGGCATTCCCCTGGGGTCTCTCCAATTATTGGAGGACACAGCCTCCCTTTAATCCGAATTTCCAGCCACATTTCCCTCTCTTTTCCCATTGGCTGAGGTCCTTGGGAGGCGCAGACTTCCCACATCACCTCATACAGACCTCATTTCTAATGTGTGACCCCTGCTTTATCTTTCTCCTCATGTCTCTGTTCTTCTTCTCTAAATCCAGAGATGTAGCAGAGTCTTGAGTGAGTAACAGTCTGTGTGTGTCAATTAGTGGAATTCCTATGGAATTTATGGTTCTGCCCATTGCTTCTTTCACCTCTCCCTATCTGGCCTTATCTACCCTCCTGCCCACAGTTTGTTTGTAAAGACACCTCCTCCTCATTCCTTTCAATCCCAGTAGTACTAAAAACCTAAAAATATATTTTGTGTCTTCAAGATAGTTCGTCAACAATAAAACAGATTAATGTATAAAAATGATAAGCATTTTGACTTAAAATGGAATTAAGATTGCACACAAAAATAACCACATGTTGGCAGGAAGCAGTCACAATCTTTAAAGGGGCTGCAATGCACTTAAACCCAAATATTTAAGCAAAAGCATTCACAGTTCATACTCTGGAACATCACACATGCAGCTGTATTGAAACAGAAGCAAAATTCAGCCTTCTTCTATTATTGACTACTCTAATTTTTGTTTTCATTTCTAGGGGGCCATTGCTATTATTTATATTATTCCTGGTGACATTGATTCCCTCATCAATTACTTTAGTTTTGCAGTCTGGATATTTTATGGTTTAACTGTACTTGCACTGATTGTTATGAGGTTTACAAGGAAGGAACTCAAGAGACCGATCAGGGTAAGTTCTGTGTGGCTTTTCCTCCATTCCATAGATGCTGTAGCAGGAATTCACACTCAGTATCTGGGTGTTTAAGCAGCCCCCTTGGGCACTATCGTGGTTTTTTACTCCCCTTACCTGAAATCCAACCCTTTAACAGCAGATCTGCACCAGCACTCATAAGCTCAAAGCTCATAAGGGCTGGGAAAAGATTACAGACTGTGGATTTTCACTTGCACAGACCACAGGGCAAAAGCCAGATTTTCAGAGATGGGTAATTGCAGTCAGCACACTGCCACTGAAAGAATATCCAAAGTAAGACCCCAGGCCATTGCATGTAAGTCAGTTCCACATTTATTAAAATGCAAACCTGGACACTGCAATTTGAACTAAGAGATCTTAGTGGATAATTTGGTAGAAGTGTTTTCCCTGCCCATAGTTCTGCTACTCCTTCAGTTGCCCCATGTGATTCCAGAAAAAGTAAAAAAATGCAATATTGCAAATAAGGCAATAAAAATATTCTTTCCTACAGGCAAAGTCTGTAAAAACAGCCAAAGAATGAGGAAGTGATTTTATTCTTTGTATCTTGCAGGTACCCATCATCATTCCTGTCATAGTGACACTGGTGTCAGTTGTGCTGGTATTGGCACCCATCATCAGTGCACCTGAACTGCCCTATTTGTACTGTACTTTATTTATACTTAGTGGACTTATAGTTTATGCACTTTTTGTTCATTTAAAATTCAGCTGGGCACAAAAAATATCAAGTAAGTAAACCCAACATTTGCTAAACTTGAGGTTAATTAGTATAATAAAGTTCACTATCTGGTCAATCCCTTCTAAAGTGTAAAAAATGCCATTCGCTTTTGTTAAAATTTTAGAAGTTTAATAGCAATGAAAATAGTAATAAAAATTAGGACAATAAGAGACAAAAAAAGCAAAGAATTCTGGACATCTGGGTGCTTTGCACAAAGAATTACCTCTTCAAAGCAATAGCCTGTTGATATTCATAGATCTCACACATGATTCAAACATTCCTTTCAAACCAGGGCGTTTCTGCTTCATTTCAGCTTCCTCCCCTCATCTTGTAAATCAACCCCCTTGGTTCCTCCAAGTCTGAATCCTTATAAGGAGGCAATAATTTGTCTCTTGGGATCTCTGGGTCTGTTGCTGTTATCTCTAGCCAGAGAGGATAATGTGAAGAATTTATTGATTGTCTTTTCCATTCTTTGTGCTAGTTAGAAAAAGTATCTTACATCACATAGTTTCTATTTTAATATTATGCTATAGCCTAAAACCTGTATTTACCACACTACTTAAAAGAGATTAATACAGCATAATTTTCTAACATAACACATAGAGTATTCATTTTAATATTTGTGAAGAGCCAATCATATAATATGCATTTTTCACATAAAGCATGTGAGCAGAACGTGGAGGGAAGGAATTTCCCTAGCATGCAGTGGGCTTTACTCCTTCCTGTTGAAAAGAAATAACACCTGACTTGAGGAAAAATTGAGCTTAATTCACAAAAAACCACACATCACTATAGTAGCACAAGGAAACAAAACTAATTCATCTGTAAAGTTAGTTTTTCAGTTATCTGTAATTCAAAACATTGCTTTAGCCATTAACTGAAGGTTAGCAGACATTCTTATGCCACCAAACACTGGGCTTTTACCTCTGATTATTCATTTTACTATCTTTGCTAAAGAAAATGTTAACAGCATTAAGGTAAAAAAATAATCCCAGGGCTGAGTACAGTGAAAGCTGCAAGAACTCAGAGTGACCATTTATGAGCTGATTGCATAATCCCTGGAGAAATCTGATATTATCTCAGGTAAAACAGGATACACAGGTATTTCTAGGAGGGTAATTGGAATTAGCTGCATACAACAGCATCAGTTGCATTCTTCAGACATTAAAAAACGCATCACCTGTCTCCCTTGTCCCTAGGATGATTAATTATCATGTAATAATTTTAATTAGATAATTTGGAAGCATTATACTCCAATGGAAGTCTGGAAATGAGGAATGCTGTAGTTTGGATCTTAAGGCTGTTTATTCCCCACCCTTTATTTTTCATTTTGAAATAGGAATTCAGATAAAAAAAAAACAAACAACTACACAGAGGGATAGTTTTCTCACTTAGAGTTTGAATTGAAAGTTCTCTTATAAAGCCTCTAACAATAAATCTTTTCCTCAGAGCCCATGACTATGCACCTGCAGATGCTTTTGGAAGTTGTTCCAGAAGAGGATGTTACTGAATGAAGTCTTTTATACCCACCAGGTTGTTTTTAAGTGCTGTACTGGTTGAAATATATTCAATTTAGTTTGGCACACATATATACTTGCTAAATTGTTATGTTGGTACTGGTGTATTAGTTTTGCAACACTTCAGTACTTCAAAGCATCAAATATAGATAAATAAAAGATTTCCAAGCCAGACTACAGTGTCCAGCAAAGCTGGTTTCATTGTTTGTTAATAAATCACGGTGTCTTGTTTTCTGAATTACAATTTTTAGCAAAGGTGTGTTTTAATGTCTTTACAAGCAATTCCAGGGGTGTTAATGTGATAGGTGAGCAATGTGATGATTGACTCTCACCATTAACAGACAAACATCATGTTTATAGGCTAAGAAAAGTTTTATAGGTTTGTAGTTCTGTTGTACCCCCTCACGTGGCTACCAAGGGACATCTGGGAGGGCTGCTGGTCACTGTGGTGACATCTGAGCTCCAGTCAGCATTTGGGAAGAGATCTCCTCCACTGGACAGTGAAGAAGGGGTCCATGGACAGAACTTTGGGAGGGGTTAAAGGGTTAAAAGGCCAAATCTCCATTGTGTGGGTGAGCACAGGGTGGGGAAATCCTCTGCTCCTGGTGCTGTAACTTTTTTCTCTATTCAGTGTTCTGTTGTATTTTTGATAAGGTTTAATAAACCTTTCTAAATTATGAAAATTGAGTAACCATTTCTCACATTGACATCTCTGAAATGGGTCAATGTCTCTACCAACTTCAAGCCCCAGGTTTGTTACAGAGCCCAGCCAGTTTGACTCCTGAAACAGACTCAGCACAAGGCTGAGTGTCTGCAATTTGGGGGGAAATGCCAGGTTCTAGGGGGATATGGGGTAGGTGGTTTGGGAAGGCTGTACCTCACTGGTACCTCAGCCAATGGGGGAAGGAAGAAGGCAGCATGTGGCTGGGAATTTGGGACAAATGGAGGCTGCACCTGTGGGAACCCAGGAAATTCCTCTGGCTGCCCTGGAGGACTCGAGCCCCTGCCCAGGGGCTCAGAGACCCTGGCACAGAGCCCCAGACCCCTGTGCCTTCGATTGAGCCCTTGGAAAAAACAATTACCAACCTTAGATGAAGAATTACAAGCCACAACAGTTTAAGTAGAATGATAGTGAACTTATCACAGGGTGAAAAATAGATTTTTGGGGTTTTTAGAATGGGGATTCAGGGGGCAAGATGGAGGGATCTGGGCATGTCCAGCCTTTCTCCTTCTTGGCCTCCATCTTCTGCTGTGCTGGTGGCACTCACAGATTGGTTTAGAGTAGAAGCTCACTGTCTAACACAGGTGCTGGGTATTGGGAAGGAATTGTAACCATTGTACAGGTAGTTTTTAGTATAAAGACATAACCCTGCCCTGGGGGCAGGCAGAGTGCCTGGAACTGTCCTGCTGGATGGACCTGGCAGGGCAGGAGAAAGAATTTTATAGATAAGGAACAATAAACAACCTTGAGACCGAGAAATGAAGAGCCCTGACTGCTTCATCGAATGCCAGGCTGGGAAAAGAGACTTTCTGACATATCTTGGGGTCACTGTGAGCAGCCAGAGGCCTGAGAGCACCCTCTGAAACCCTGAGGGAGAGAGAAACCCCCACAGGCTCTCTCTCCCCACAGGTCCCCAGGGGACCTGCTCCCATTATCCCAATACAGGTGCAGGACTCCTCTGTCTCCTTTATTGTGACAAACAACTGCTCACATTGAAAACTTAAAAAGGTTTATTAAACCTTTACAAAAACACAACAAAAGGACTAGGGAAGGAAAAAGCTGCAGTGCTGGGAACTGCCCTCATGGACACCACATAGCCGGTTCATCTTCAAGATGGATGCTCAGTCTTTTATAGCCCAGGGGTTGCACCAGCCAGGCCTGGCCCCTCCCAAGTCTGTCACTCAGCTCTTCTGTGCCATTTATTGGTGCAAACTGCTTTCTTGTCACTGCATTGGAGCTCAGGAGTTGCCATGCCCACCCCCTGGGCACCAATCTGCAAATGTGTCCCTTGCATGGGGCAGCTGGGAATGGAAGAACTTTTTACTGGGGCAGGGCATTTTCCACACTTGGCTTGCATTAACTTGCATGCCCACACTGCTCTTGTCTCATTGTCAGGCCTTGCATTGCCAGGCTTTATCTCCTTTGCATTTCCTTGCCATTCCTGACTACCCATATCCTTTGCCTTCCTGACTCATCCATGTCCTTTGTACCCCTTGCATTGCCCTGCTCCCCCGTTGCCCAGCTTGAATTCCCTGCCCATTTTTACTGCTCTTCCCTTGCCTGTAGTTCTCCTCCCCTCGGACTCTCACTGCCTTGCTGGCCTCTCCCCTGCCTTGCCTGGCACAGCCATCACTTGCTGTGCCCTGACCTTGCTCCCCTCCCTTGCCTTGCTCAGCCCTCTCCACCTTGAATTCCAAATCCCTTTTTTCCCCTGCATTTCTTGGCCTTGCCTTGCCCTGTTCCTCCCAGGACTCTGAACCTCTCCAGGTACCCCCAGTGTTTCAGAAGCTCATGTGGGGCTGCCCAGGGGAGGTTTGTCCTGGCAACTTGGAGTGCTCTGGAAGCCTGGTGGGAAATGTGTGTTAGGAGTTTTGGAGAGTCCTTTAAGGGTTTGTGAGAGCAGAACAGGGAATAGACAAAGCAGCTCCAATAGGTTGAAGACTGGCTGCTGATATTTACAGAAGACTTGACCACCAGTGAACCTGTTATTGTGGCAATAATGAGTAGTGATAATTGTGCCTTTTTATCTCCCAAGGCCATTTGCAAGTGTGGAACAGGCAACTTCCAGGGATGATGCAACTCCTTAACACCACAAGGTCCTTACTGACTATGGGAGCTGTTGTTTTCAAGCATTTTCAATTTTTCCTCCATCTAATTTTGCAAAATGGAGGCAGATCAGAGATTGGTGAGGGCTCAGATGCTGAAATCCTGTGTTTGGACAGGGGGAGTGAGCTCCTCACAGGCATGATGGGCATCTAAACCTCAGGAACATCAATCTACCAGCACTATCCATGTCCAGAATCATGAATCATAAACTCAAGGGATGGTTTGGGTTGAAAAGGATCTTAACACTCACCCAGTGCCACCCCAGCCATGGCAGGGACACCTTCCACTGTCCCAGGCTGCTCCAGCCCCAGTGTCCAGCCTGGCCTTGGGCACTGCCAGGGATGCAGGGGCAGCCCCAGCTGCTCTGGGCACCCTGTGCCAGGGCCTGCCCACCCTGCCAGGGAACAATTCCTTCCTAAAACTTCATCCAAATCAACTCCCTGTCAGTGTGACTCCATTTCCCCTTGTCCTGTCCCTCCATCCCTTGTAAATAGTGTCTCTCTCTCTTTCCTGTCAGCTCCTTCAGGCATTGGAAGAAAAGAAGGATTACCAGCTCTATTCTTTCACTGAGTTACTAAATTTGATAAAGAATTTTGATTAGAGAGCATTTCTTAAAAAAAAAGAAAAAGAAAATCTAAATATAGACCGCCCCCATTTTTTAATGTAATGTGTGTTTGTGTGGATTAAAAAAAAAAATTGTTCTGCTTTTGACGCAATTGAAAAGCTTCAAAATGTAGCAGCATACAGGAATAAACTCTCAGAAATATATTTTTAAATGTGACAGGTATTAAATACATAGTCCAGATTCTTTGGAGAAACACCTATTTGCCATCAGTTTGCCATACTGGGACAGGTTTAGCATCACTTAATATTAGGATTTTTATTCAAGTGCTTCAGTTCATACAGACCTGTGAGAAATATGAATGTTCAAAATATTTCAGCTTGGAGCCTTCATGGACTTACAGAACTTGGATAGAGGGAAAGAAGAGAAATGTTATTCACAGCATTTAATGTAACAGAAATTCTACTGTATCAATGACCAGCTGAAAAAATGAAATGTTTTAAATAAGGTCAGCAAGGTTTGATTTCAAATTTATGCTTTATATTTTATAATCCTATTATATTTCTGTAAACAAGAGGATGGCAAAGCAACCAACTTCTGTCCCAGCTCTGCTCTGAGCTAAATTAAATTTCCAAATAAGCACCAGATGCAAAGAGCACAGTTTCCTAAAGGCCTGAACTTCCAGGAACTCATTCTGCTATTGCCATCTTGTGGATGACCTGCAGCATGATGCTGCTCATTTGGCATCTCTCCCATCCTGCTTTGGTGAGGAATTTTTCCTGATATTCCACATTGCCATGGCAATCCATTACCTGAAAATTACAAAGTTCTTTATCTCAAAATAATTGAATTTATTAATTTCAATTAGTCCATTAAAGAAAATTAAACTTGTCTCCATAAATTGTCAGTTACTTTGTCCAAGTAAGATATTGAGCAGTGGTAGTATGTGAACTGAACTTTAAAAAATATCAGCTGTGCCATAAAAATGGTTTTAATTACCTTTGTATGGTTCCCTTTTTGTTGGAGGATTGCATTGTGCTAAAGAAGAATGGGCCATTGCTTAAGGCACAAGGCTTATGTGAATCACAAGAGTATTCAAAGTCACAAAGCCTGGAAGATAAAAGTTTTAAATATTAATGTATGACAGATGGTGCAAAACTCAGAGATGCTGGTGCTCAATGGGAGGAGCTATATTGTATATATATATATATAAACTTTGCAGCAATATTGTGGACTTGGCACCTCCCCACCATGGGGAAAAGAACTGTGTGTGCACTGTTTGGATTTTCTCCTTAAATGTGGCATCCCAAGGCATTGCCAGCCTCTCTAACTGAGCCAGCAGCGTGTCCACCTTCAGAGCCATCAGGGATTGGCTCTCCTGGACACTCTGGAAGCTTCCAGCAGCTTCTCAGAGCAGCCACTTCTGTGGCCCCCTCCACTGCCAAAAACGAGGCTGTGCCAAACCTGCCCAAAGCCTGAGAGTTTTGTACCACAGCAGAATTCTGAAGGACGTTGTGTACGTTGCCAAGGTGGACCCCATTGGTACAAAATTAAAGGGGATATTAAAAGAGAGCAGCTTTTATAAATGGTAAAGCCATGACCTGAGCA